TGGTATACAGACATAATTAATGTATTACAAAATACGGATTTATTTCGTTATATTAGGTAACTACTGGGCAAATAACCGATTCTATTTTGATTTTGGTATAAACAGTGTATCTATAAAAGGCTCCTCAATTGGACTTAACGTAAATACAAAATGAAAATTCTTATTATTACAGTTTGCGAACAATTATTAAAAATAGGTTATGAAGAATATTTTTTTGTTAACCGATGTAAAAAAATTAAGTAGTTTTAGGTGTATCGACCACAAAGTGTATATTTAGTCTATTTTCATTTTCCAGGTGTTTACAAAGAGAAAAAAAGCATATATGTTAAAGTTGAAGGATTTATAAGAATAACCATGGCTAGTGTGTCTTTGCATCTATCTCTTTTCAATGGTTTCTTTCTGAATATTATTAAACCTCAACAAATATTTAGTTTGTTTTCCTGAAAAAAATATTGAAATTTGGAAAACCATTTCTTCTTAACACATTGTTATATCGCATTACAGAATATTGTATTACAGAAGTAATATTTGTTGAATTTCTCGACACAGGCCCAACCCTTTGATTTAGAATTTAAATAGATTGTTTTAACCTATTCGAGGCACTTCAGGTAGAAGTAAAAAGCCCGTATCGGAAAAATCTGGAATTAAATATGGATCTGTCTTACGACTTTTATACAAAGTCCATCTTTACTTAAATTGCCAAATCAAAGTTTTTTTTGTAAAACATGTTTATTCTGCATAGTAATAAGACACACCTTGTTTTAAAAACATAAAAGTTACACTAAATAAACTGCTCTTTCATAAAAACACAAAATCAAAAATCCAGAGTGGATTAAGTCTAGAGAATATTTATGTGGCACTATCATAGATGTTAGGTGTGATTTGTATTTGGAATAGATAAAACTTCTGTTCGACATGCAGTGAGTATCTCCTTAATAACAGATACGAGGAAATAAATACAATAAGATCCATCTGCGAAAGTTGAACATAGCCATGGCAACTCAGGTATACATCTTGAAAGGCTCCAGATGTTCAACATATTAGTTACTACCTGAACACTCCTCTGATTAAAATATCATCACACACAGTTTGTGGAGCCAATAAGTGTTTGGTAGAAGCATACGCAGCATCTTAAGCTATTTTATAAAATGATCTTAATTATTCAGGAGCAAATTCTAAACAAGGGAAAAATAGGAAGACCTCTGGACTTCCCATTCTATCTTCATGCGGGAAAGTTTAAGCCATAGAGCCTATTCGCTCACCTTTATTGTTTATGGAGACGAGATTGCTGAACCGTGAAATTAACAACAAAAGTGTTGAAAAGGAAACTAATTTTCGAAATTATGTCTTTTTTTGTAAGGTATTGAAATAACTTTAAAAAATGTTTAGATGCATATACATTTTATCCATGTTTACTCTATAATAACTCTAACGATTTTAAGCCGCTATTAGACTAGGTCACTAGTGGTGCAACTGGTGGCGCAACTAGGGCACAATGGGGGGCCAATTGGTGTTACTGCTATAAGCATTAGTGTATAACATAAGTAAGTTGTAACTGCGTTTTATGCATTTGTTACGCCGAAGCTGTCCACCAGTTTGACAAAAATTTTTGGTGGCGCCACCAGTTACCGTAGTTTAATTCCAAGACGTGTCGAGTCACTAAAGGACCAACTTGGTTACGCCGCCATTGGCATAGTCTAATAGCGACAATAGAGTTTATAAAGCTAATAACTATTAATTGATAGTTTATTTTCGAAAAAAACCAACCGACCTAATCAGTGAATCCTTTTATATTATACAGTGAGCATGTACAGTTTGGAATAAATTCAATATAATATATTTTGGTCAAGTAAACAATTATTGCTTGATTGTGTTTTTTTTGATGCTCATTTTTAAGAACTTATAATTTTTCTAAATATGTCGTCGTTTTTAAATGATACTACCATTTTTTAAGCACCATTTAAAAGAGTAAATCTTTGGGTGTATAGACAACTCATTTTGTGTATGTTGCACCACAATATTTTCTAAATAGAAAAATTTTGAAAATTATACGTTTGGAAAAAAATTTTGACTAGCATATTGTCAAGAACTGAAAAGCTTGTAATTTGCATGATTTATTATTAATTCAAATTTTTTTTATTACATCTTTTAATTCTAATATTGTTGTGTAACAGACAACATTCGGCGCATATACAAAAAATATACTCTTTTAAATAGTACCAATTAAAAAACTGTGTCGAAAAATGACGTAATAAAAAGTATAGGTTTATCAAAATTTGTGTATCTAAAAAATCAGAGTCAATTCTTAGACGTTTTTATTCAATGATTTTTTGGGAATGTGGTTTATAATTAAAACTTCAAAACATTGTTTATATTATTTAAAGATTTTGGCCTAAAATCGGACAGCTTTCTTCAGTTGTATTAATAATATAGAATTTTTGTTTAAATATCTTTTTATTTTTTATATTATACATTTTGGTTATAATTTTTTCTTTTTATGAATCTATATTATAAATTAATTATACTTTTTTATATATTATTTTTATAATTTTAAAAAGACATTTAACAAAAATGTAAGATTTACAAAAGAAAAAGAAACATTTAAACAAAAATTCCATATTAATTTTAAAAAAGTTTTAATTATTACCGTTATTCCCAATAAATCACTGAATACAAAAATCTACAAACAACAAAACGTTTAAAAAAATTGATTTGTTAGTACAAATTTCATCTCAAAAAAAAATATCAATAAACATTTTATCAAATTTATTCCAACTTTAATGTGCTCACTGTATATATATGTGCATAAAAATAAACGTCAACTAAAATTGGTCCTATGTATATTTTCACGTATCGACTTTTCGCCGTTTCGTCTAATTTCTCAGGCCCTCATCATCAGGCTTTTGTTAGTAATTAATGTGTTTTTAGTATAACAATAATTAATAACATTGGTACCGTAGTATGAAGAAGAAAATAAAAAAGGTTATAGTCCAATCAACGAAGAAAACATTCAAAAAATATATTCAGCTAAATGATTTCAAATAAAATACTATCATCACATCTAATAATGATGTAACTTTGATGTTGAATTATTTAGAAATTCACTTAGCTTTTATAATTGCCTTAAATTCAAAATTATTTAACAGCCATTCAATAAAAACAAAATAAAATGGTTCATAAACTAAAAAAAATTGTTTTGAAGCAATATATAGAGATTCTAATAACATATATTTCGGACAGGCTTTTTAGAATCAAATAGGAAGATGAATAGTCTAATTTAAAAGTAATAAAAACTGAAGTGCCTTAAAGAAATATTCTTGGACTCATCTTATACTAACTCTACTCTAGTGACTTTCCAATTTTGGAAAATATAACTGTAGATACATCCGCTGGTGATACTGATCTTCTTGCAATTGACCAGGATTCGAACTGCTAGCAATTCTCTGGTTAGATGGACCAATAAATAATGAATTGAAAACTATTTATATGAACTTCACTAATAAAAAAATGGTAAAACCTCTGTGTCTCTAAATATCAACGGAAAGACTGTGCCTCATGAACTAAATGAAAAGTACCTTGGAATGACCTTTGATCCCAAGTTGCAATGGAAAGTACATGTTAAAAACAAAAAGAATCTAATTTGAAATAAATTATAAACTATAAAGCAGAAACTCATAACTGTCAGTAATTAATAATATATTAATCTACTGTTATAAGACCATTCTCACTTTACTGCATTTCATCATGGATGTGCTAGAGATAGCAACATTCAAACCTCCAAGAACAAAGTATTGCGCTCTTTGATAGAGTTAACAGTCTACTTTATAAAAAATACATGAATAAGATAAAATTTAATAAATTATCAAAACATCTTGTGGTCGATGGCAGTAAAGTAAGGATAATATATGAAGGGATTAGAAAGTAAAATTAAAATAAATTAGGGATTGGAAACACTTGATAGGTAACGATCATTCGGTTTGATGAATGATCTTCAAAGGAGTATGATGTATAAAAACAGAAACTACAAGATATTGGTGGATATCAAGAAGACACACTATACAAATTAAATATAGCTGAATTATTTACCAATGTGAGTTTTTGTTGGTAAAGGAAAAATGACTTAAGTCAACCTACCGGACACCTATCATCAAAGATGTCCTTATCAATTATTACAATTTCAACCACCCTTCTACTTCCAATAGCTTACTCTAAAGAGCATTTTCCTTACAGTTATCCTACTCCTTTTTTATTGAAAATAATTTATTAACAACGATTTTTCATTAGAGATGATTCATATTGTAAATTCAAATTTCAGTTGCCTGTTTTCTGGCTCTTTACATTATTTCGGTTCTGTTTCATATAATTTACTAAATAATATAAATCTAGCTTTCAAAACAAATTTTAATATCAAAAGTTTTTTAATTAACACATCACTCCAATGCTTCACAGTCTGATATCTATAAAATTATAGAATAATTAGAAATTTGTGTTCTTGAGCATTTAAATATATAGAAATATATTAAAACTTGGATATTTTGATTACGCAATCTGCTTTCGCAAACCTCATTCCTTAGTCCACATACGAATATTTTATTATGTAACTGCAACAAAGGCAATCGGATGGACCTGCTCGAAATATCTGAAAGAATAATTACTTAAATTGCCTAAATGAACAACGGCCATTTAAATTGAATAATAAATTTTATGTGATACCTATATGATTTTGTGTATTTATTTTATTAATATTAAAATTAAGTACTCATCCATTTTATTTACTTTCTTCTATAAAAAATTGCCTTTTCCTGTCTTAATCCCAGTCTTTCGTTGATTGGAGTGTAAACTATGTATGATATATAGCGAACGGCGAACAGTCGATCCTTCCAAGACAGGCCTTCTCTTTCTTTTGTTTAAATAGGCTAAATGAACACTTTGACAAATTTCACTTCACCATTTTTAAAATTGGATTGTAGCTATTTTTTATTTTTCCTCCGCGTCTCTAGGCAATATTCGCGAGTTGTATCCCTGAAATCATTGACTTGATTGGGACTAGACCGAAATATGGTGGCACCTTGAAGAACGAGAGAGGTCGAAGGTGAGGATAACATAAAATATTTGTTTGTCTGTATAATCCAAGTTATGTTATTTAAATGGTTTAGAACGTAATGGCCTCTTTCAAACTGTATCGACTTTTCGCCATTCGACGTGTACATACGGCGCCATTGTTTCGAAGTAACCGTGATTGATTGACATTTTAACCGTAGATCATTAACCAATAGGAATCAACGTCGATCTCTTTACGGTTATTTCCAGCGAGCGCCGTATGGTGGCGAACAGCGAAAAGTCATCCACTTTATACGGCCTTTTTCAGAAGATGCCGAAGACAGACATTTACCTTTTAAATACAGTCAAATAAGGTCAGAAAAAGGTAAATCTCGGAATAAGAGACAATTAAGCTGAGTAGATAATCTATGTTAGTTCTGGGACCATCGATCAGGTGAACGAGGGTTTTTACATCATCTAATTTTCGCTGGATGGCGACACCTGTCATTTAATTATGTTACAATTATCAAATTATAATAATTAATCCTAAACAAATTTAATTTGAAGTGACTATTTAGAAACAACCATTCTACCTATGAAACCTTTATTTTGGCCTTCTAAAAACCTTGTGAAAAGTCACTTCCCAGCTAGCACAAAAACATCCCATCTACGTTAATAAGCTGCAATTTTAGGCTCTTTAAGCTCGCATGCGATATACTTTTAATGTAACCCTAATATCCCTGCAACCGCTGAATGTCCGCAATGGCAAGACTTTTATAGCACAGCTCACAGAGGTTACAAAGTGAAGTTTGAAAAACATCACACTAGCACTTTTACGGTACTTACCTCGAAAGTTGCTCTGAAACGTTCTATAGATGTTATAATGTGAATTAGTTCTACAGCATTATACAGTGTGTCCACGGATGGGCTTAACTATACTTGTGAAAATATTTATTTTAAATTAAAAAAGTAATTCTTCATAATTTCTTTTGCTTTTTAAATAAATTCGATTTACATTGGAAAATTATGAAAAATAACTTTTTTTTTTATTTAAAATGAATATTTTTACAAGTATAATTAAGTCCATTTTTATAAAACTTATAGAATATAACGTTCTATACATTTTTAGTTTTTAGAAAAATTCTCCTATTAAAAACCGTTTTCAAAATATCTAGTGGAGTGTGGAGTCACGTGCTTAATATGGTTTGCACAGTTTAATTATATACTAAAAATATTTTCATTAATATTTAAGTTTACTGATAAACAATGTTATTTTGCAGTAATTTTTTTGGGATTTAGGTATTTTTCGGCATCTCTCGTGGACTTTCTTGAGTAGCTACTTATAATTCTTTATTTATTAAAATTATTTTTCTTTTAAAAAGTTTTTAAACGCACCGTCACTACTAGAGCTGCCTTTCGGACAGAGTTTCGGATACAGCAGTTACTACTACTACTGTTTCTAAAAATTCTCTTTTTTAAGTTTTTCACTGTTTTCTCGTTTTCATAATCAAATTCGTGGTCTATTTCTGTTTTGTGTTTGCCAAGCGCATGTATATTATTTTTGGTATTTTTATGGGTGCGTATTCTGTTTTTGGGTACTGTATTGTTATGATTTTGTCAAATTATGTGTAAATGCTGAATTATTTTTATAACCTATTTGTATGTTGAGTTTTTCTGAATTCTAAAAGAGTGGGCAATGGATGTAGAAATGTAAGAATGCAATACTTCTTTGTTTATGGCCAGTGTAGGAAACGAGAAATTTGCAAAAAAAATCGCGACATTTGACCTTAAATATCTTAAGACGCATAACATTGTGACTGTTTACATAGTGTTTTTAAGGCCAAAAAAACATTTATACAAATATTCAACTTATTGTCTCTCATTTCTAGGTTGAATCCGTATTTCACTGACCTATTTATGATTTATATAGATCATTCTTGGTTACTTATAAGTAACGAATCGCATACAATATCCTTATCCCATATCTGGTAAATTTAATAAAAATGGCCTCTCTTTTATGATAACTTAAGTATCAGTTCAAATAGGCCAGTGACATTGTTTTAGGATTATTATTGAAGTTATTAATATTAATTTTAGTCACGTGGGATATGGGTATTCTTTAAACAATGATCAGGGAAACGTTCTGTCTGAAAGAGGTCTTGGTGAAATAGAAATCGGGATAGGATCAATTTAAGAGTCAATTCTAATGCAAATTTTGATGCAAAGGCTAAAGTCCATCTTTATATAGTATAAATTGATGTCTTTCTTTAACCTGCTAACCAAATAAGTTATGAAAGGGTTAAATTTTACAAAATCAACCAGAGTGATTTTGTTCAATTTTGAAAAGTTGGGTATAAAGAAATTAAAAACTGAAGAAGATAAAATATGGGCAAATTATTTACTCAACCAAAAGGCAGAAGAAAATATAAATAACCAGTTGTTTACTAGAACGTTGGGAATCACTAGTTAAAAGGAATCCGTTTAAGAGCAAGCCCTTCCAAATATAATGAAATTAAACATTTGAAAATAATATAATTAAATATTTAAAGTTTACGATACAATTTTTAAAAGAAGGGGTATCTTTACCTTGAATTATTAATTGTATTGTAAATTAAAAAAATCTATTATTGATTGTTAAGTAATTGTCCTATTACTATTTGGATAATCCACTTTTGGCGTCTGCATTAAAATTTGCTTTTGACTCTTTATCTAAATTTTTTCTGATATCCTATATCTGCACGTTCTGATTCTATCCTATTGATGTTTTAAATGTTTTGTTAGTGTGAATACATTATTCCGTGGAATTTGTAACTCTATTGTCTATATAATATACGTAAAATATCCTACTAATAAAAACAAAAACTGTAACAGGAACTAATAAATAATAAACAGTTAAAGTTCAATAAAATTAGTTTGCCACGAAAGATAGGGGTACCAATTAGCTAAATTCACGTAATTATTTTAAACATGTAATCTATAAAGGCTTACAAAAATTTTTAAACTTTTCGGAGCTACTATTTTTTTAAAATAGCTTTGGTCATCAAATTTTACTTTAGAGAAAAGATTAAGAATACCGTAAAGTCTAACCTATAAGGCTAATGGCTCGTAACAGCAACAAGGATGGCTCAATTCTTCTTACAGTAATATTCATTCTTCTGAGGTAAATCCATTTTTCCTGGCTGAAACTCATACTACAAGTACTGGTGTTAAGATAATTTTTTTGCAGGAGATATTATGTCGTTTCATTTAATTATTAATATCCTGCAAGTTGTCAAAGTCTATTTCATTTATTTTGATAGCAATTGTTTTATTAATATGAATAATAACTACTATAAATATTTTTTTGCTCCTTAGAGTAAGAATCTCTTTGATATCTTAGAATATATTTGCTGCAGTTGGTTTTTGATTGTTTTACTTTATATGGGAGTCCCTTTATAATATATATCTATCAATACAGATCTTTAATTTTATGAGGACTAAATTTGACTCGGATTTATTAAATAAAAAATGACTGATAGGACTCCACAGAGTGCATCATTCTCATTTTTTCCACGTTTAATCAAATGTACACATATATTTGTGATGAAGCCCAGAAAGTTATAAAACTATAAAATTATGTTATTCCTATCTATGTAATAAACGTTTTATTGAACTTAAACATCTTCAGTCTGCATTCCTGTTACATTTTTACTGAATCTAACTGATGGCGCGTTCTTCTATAGTACAAGAAAATTGTTCAAATTAAAAAAAATCAGGAAATGTTTGTTAGTGGTTTGCATGCAGATGGCATGTGTCATCTAGTACCACTAGAAATTATTTAAGTGCGTGGCCAGGCTGTGATTAGGCGCTCACTTGTATTTTATAGAATAGATTAGAGTTTTTAAAATTTTTAGCAACCAAGTTTCTGATAATTTAGTATTTGTTTGGCGCCAATTGTGATTTGATGATTTATCAGAAATTTTTTTATGCTCTAGTTGCATGATACTTTTAGTATTAACAATATTATTAATAATGTATGTCATAACTAACTTATTTTTTTTTTCAGTTATTCAGTTAATAATGTGATCTTTCATTATGATTTCTTAAACATTCGTTTATCAATAAAACAATTAAAACTGACAATATTTTTTAATCTTTGCTGTAATTGCAATTCGTTTTTATATTTCTTAGTTTTATTTTTAATATTTCCTCAATAACATTATTTGCAGTTTTGAAGATTAAAAAGGAATTATAAATATCTCTGTTACTGATTGGATTTAACTAATTTCTTCTCTGTAGAATAATAGTTAACTTATATATTATGTTTTTAGATTGCTACATTCATAAAATGATCAATTATAATTTTTAATGTTTTTACATGAAAATATACAAAAAAACTTCTTATTTTGCCTAAGGGTTACAGCAAATAGTTTAGGATGGCATAATGGAAGATCTCCACAAAATACATACACTAATACTGCACCTAATCAAATACAGTGTTCCCTAAAAGTATCACAATTGAAATATACAACAATATCTTGCATTAAAAATGGTTGGGTGCCACTTTGTAGTAATCCAAATCTATTAAAATCAAACTTAAAGCCTCTAGTTTTTAATTTTTGGTTTTTTGGCAACTAGAGAGCTGAATATTAAACGGTTGTGATACTTTTTTGGACACACTGTCACTCACATAGCAAATAGATACTTAGGAACACCATTGATTAATTAATGTTTTAATTTTCTTATAATGAAATAAGTATTTTTTTTTATTTAGGCACATTGTCGTTTGTGGACACATCACATATGAATCGGTGTCACATTTTTTGAAAGATTTTCTGCACGAAGATCGGGAAGATGTGGACGTAGAAGTCGTTTTTTTGCATAGGTGAGTTCATTCGTTTAAAAAAAAAACATTCACTGAATTTAGGCGAAAAATGTATACCGGGTGGCACCAAAGTATTGATCTCTTTAAAATATATCAATTTAACGTTTCTTTATTGATTTTTGTCAAGAATACATACTTAAATACATTTTATAGTATTTTTAAAGCATAATTACGATTTTTGAAGGCTGTTTAACACATTTTTAGTTGTTTTTTCTCGATTTTTGCCAATTTGGTTTTTTTCGCATTACTTGTACTTGAATTAAGATTTTTGGTTCTTTTTTTAACGAAAATAAATAATTATTTTACTTCATCGTTTTTTAAATTGGTTTTTGTTATAGTTTTAAGGTAAAATAGGGTTTTTAATACTTAAATACTTCGTTTTGCTAGATAATTTTTACTTGATTTTGAAAGTATTTCATTAAGACTATAATCTGTCTTATCAGGAAGAGATAATTAATTACTTTTGCGGTCAGCTGGTATATATACTATAAAGGAAAGGTCCTAGAATATAACATTTTGAAATGTTCCAGGCCATTTCAGGTTCCATAGATGATTTTACTTTTTTACATTTTTATTTCATTTATTTTTGAAAGGTTCTTTTCGCAGGAAAAAAATTATTTTTATTTCAAGAGCAAAATGGAAAAATTGGGCGTATTAATTTAATTTATTACACACAAATATTTCTCAAAAGAAGTACCTCAGACATTTTAGTAAAAAAAAAAATAAGACACCCAAGTACATTTAAAGCTGTTTTTAGAAAAGAACCAGATTTGGAATTGGAGGGTCTTCTGAAACGTCATTATACGACCGTGGAGTTTTTTCAGGGAACCATGATGAACGCAGTTGACCTTGAAAGAGTCAAGGTACCCACTAAGTAGAATATTCATTGTGAATGAATATCCCTGAATATATTTATTTAGTTTGTTAGAAATATTTTCTTTAAATCTTTGCAAGATTTTATTAAAATTTTTGCATATGTATGATTAATTATATAAAATCATTATAAAGCTCAATTTTTTATTGGAATAGTTAGAGACAGTCATAAAGATTTGACGGAATGGTTAATCAATTTAACCTAACTTTCTATATGTTTATGTATCTAGTTTTAATTAAGAAACGGGACCTTAATTACACATATTTTCAAAGAATATTATCTTGCAACAATAAATAAATCGTGGGTGTTAGGTTTGCGTTAAGCTTGTCATTTAAGTTGTAAGAAGTCAAAGGATCAGTTTTCACTCAAATATTAATAAATACTGGATGTTCCTTTTAAGTTAGACCATTTATTTATGTTTAAATAAAAAAGTGATATATAATTCTTTTTAAAATATACTAAATATAACAATTAATTGCCAAAAAGCTTTAAAACAAGCAGTGAAAAGCATAATTTTTTAAACGTACTTGTTTTAGCATTGTTCTTTATTTTATCACATAAGTAAGAAAAAATACAGGACCTCTTAAAAAGTGTGCACCATAATATGGAAAATTATTTTAATATAGATTTTTGAGAAAAAAAATTATTTTTGATAAAAAATAGTACTTTACTATTGTTCTTTGTAATACTTTCTTTCCCTATTTATATTTATTAGTTAAATACATTGTCTCTCCTGTGTATATTACTACTGGTTTTATGTTGGCTTTATATACTCTCAGTTTTGTTTCGTTACTTATCTTCTTGATTTTCATTATGTCCTTGTATTTGTAAGCCTGTGTCAATTCCTTTTTTTTTGTTCACGGTTTTCCGGATTTTCCTTATCTGTAAGTCAAATGGCACCATCAGTCATCTTCAAGTCGTCCCGGAGTGCTACGGCAAATAATAATGGCCGTCCCTTCCCCAGACAAGCTTAATCAGCTTCTGTATCTGTAACGACTGTTTTTATATTTTGTTAGTGCAATTCCAAAGCAGCTTATTAGTGACAATTCCAACCTTTTGGTAATTTCTCAACATTAATAGCTTTTAAAGGTTATTTATTCATAAAATTAGACCATTTGTTATACAATATCTAAAAACACTACGAGATTAAAAAAATATAATCATACTTCATCAGAATCAAAGCCGCTTGAGATTCACTGTCAGCAATAATCATACAGCAAATTATTAGAAAATTAGGTGAGGTTATTATATATGGCTGTAATTTCATATTTAACTTTAAATATTGTTTATAAAAGAGTTATTCAAATAACATTTTCCTATTTTTTTTATAAATAAGGGTAGGTACTTTACTCTTGTACCAAATTCATATTTACATAATATTTTTTTTTCAATATCATGTTTTAAGTGAAGCAATAACTTTTATCACAAATAATTTTTTCTCAAAAATTATTAATGAAAAAGTTTTCCATATGATATTAGAAACAATATTAGAGGACCTCTAAGAAATGCACATATTTTTTTTTCTTTAAAGTTATATATGAAATAAAAAACGAACTATTCTATTAAAAAAAACTATCTTTGATATTATATATTGTTTTAAATATTTTTTAAATAAGTAGTAGGACTTCATGAATACCAAACCACTTTCTCTCGTGTTCATCTAGTTCTTCGGTTTATAAAATGCTCCAGCGACTTCTTCAACGACTCCTTCATCTTCGTCTTCGAACCAAAGAACTCGATAAGTATGTTAACAAAGTGGTCTGGTGTTCCTGTATTCATACTACTAAGATATGATCAGCAAGTACCTAAAAGACAACGTTTATGAAGCCATTTTAAAAATAAAAAACAAAATCTTGCAAAGTTCCAAATTAGTTATCATTTTTTGGCAGCGAATCTCTGCATGGTGCTCTGGAAAATATTTTACTACATTTATAGTTTTTTATGGACTGGAAATTGCTATAGGTTAATAATGTTATTGCTTAATTTTGCTTGACTTTTGTTAAATGATTGGAATGTGTAGGAAACCGCCGGACCTAGAGCTGGAAGGTCTTTTCAAGAGACATTTCACTACAGTAGAATTCTTCCAAGGTACCATAATGAACCCTATAGATCTGCAAAGGGTCAAGGTAAGTTTGATGCACATAACTGTGTTGCCTTGTCTATAAACGTCAGTGTTCTCTCATAATCGAAATGTATAGTGCCCGTAAATGATGTAACACCAGCGCGAAGAAAGGTAAAGCGGAATAAATTAGTCCGAAGGTGTAAGAATGATTTATGCTCTAGTGTACCATTGCGTTCTAAGATCAATTCCAATCCTAGGTCAGTTCTAGTATCAGAATAAGTTATAAATTTAGTTACAGTAAAAACTTTTTTTTAAGTTATACTATATACTCTATCTTGAACTAACATTGCAAATAACCAACAATACTTACAAATTTTCGTATTTTCTCGTGTAGCACTTCTGTTAATTAGGTGGTTATTTAAACAAGATTGCTATTTTCATATCCACAATTCTTCTTTAGATTTTCAGAAACAGACATTTTTTTGTTTAGGAAGATTTCTTTTTATACAGCCTCAATTAAAGATTATTAAAGTTTATTTTCTTATTGTCTTAAGATAAAGGATTACGTGTTTAATCTGTCTCTTACGGAATCATTTTTTATGTTTCGTGAAAATTCGTTTATTAAAATTGCCGGGTGAATTGTAAATGCCGTAATAACGTCTCAAAATTAAGGACGTGTCAAAGAAAGCCATACACAGTATGTGGACAGAGATGAAATTGATAGAATCTAATTATTTTAGGATTTTTTGTAGTTAAATTTAAAAACAAAAACTTGATGCTTTCAGTAAATGTTGCCTCTAACCCAAATAAATTTTTATTAGTTAATAATACATAATTTTTTAATTATCTAAATAACTTACTGCGGTACTAAAGATAAATCAAATTATTATTTTACGCCTGGACTAATTTCTTTCGACTTGCCACTCTACGCCCTGGTCTTATATCGTTGACAGGCACTATATCTAAAGATGCAATAGGTGTTGAAATTGGTAGGTTTTAGGTAATCAGTATTAACACAACCTACCGATAGATACTGATTAATAATATTTTCAATACGATGTTTTGAAAAGTTTTCCTAAAAAAATCAATTGACGATGTTTGAGTTACATAATAGTGTGAATTAGATGAAGGAAACATAGGTTCTAATTTTTGTTTGCCAGATATTATAAAAATTTTGTGTAGTTTGAGTTTTGATAGGTTTCTGTTAGAAAATTATGACTTTATGCAGGAGTGCGATGGTTTCTAGAAGTCTATAGCAAAAATTTAAGAACCATCCTAAGTTTATCACTTTTAAAAAAGTGTTTGGCGTCAAGTATAAATTTCCGATGTTCTTAAATATCAACTACTGCTTACGCATTTGAACCAAAGAATTTTATTAGCAGGCATAATCATTTAAAATTTTCTGAATAGGCAAAACTTTGGGTAAAATAAAGTGATAGAAATAGTTTGAGTTCACTGTCAGCGACACTTAAACAACAAATTATTAAAACAATTTTTGAAGGTAAGATTATTGTAAGAATTTTAAAGGATTGCTCGACAACTGTCAGTAGTAAAATAATTTGAGGCTGTAATTATTTAGTTTAAAACTGGTACGCCTTTTCTATACCATTTATAATAGCACTAGAAATTGCAACGAAGTAGTAGAGCAGTTTCAGCACTTTTCTTCCTTATAGGACTATAGCCTTTGGTAGGGCTTAACTTTCCTAAATAATTTCATTCATTCCTCTCTACCCAATGTATTTTTATTCAAAAGTTTAATTAATTATCGATCAAAGTTATTCTTTTGGTCGACATAAACTCACGTTTTTATATTTTGTATATAGTAAAATTCCAAAACAGCTTATTAGAGATAATTCTAACGTTTTGGTTATTTCTTATCAACATTAACTGCTTTTAAATATTATTTATTTACAAAAGTAGGCCCGTTATTATAAAATATCTTGAAAACTACGAGATTCAAAAACATACTTCATCAGAATTAAACCTTAACTGTCAGTAAATTATTAGAACATTTTTAAAGGTGAGGTTATTAAATAATTTTTAAAGGATCAGTGGCAACTGTCAGTAGTACAATAAACTTTTAATCTAAAACTGATATACTTAGGATGGCTCTACTATACTAAAAAATACAACGAAATAGTAAACCAGTGTCAGTACTTTCTCTTTCTCATGGGACTATATCCTTTGACGGGACTTGACTTTCCTAATTAATTTATCAAATTTTTGCTGTTTTCTTTCGAGTTTGTCAGTTTTTCGTTTCTTCTCAGTCTTCCACTTATCCTCATATATGACATTTATGAATCCGTAGCAGTTTGTTTCTTTTTTATTTTTATTATTATATTATTATACCGTCTTCTAATAAGTATCTTATACTTTCATTTATTATGATTATTTTCATGTCTATTTTAAATCTCCCATGATACAGTTCCCTAACTAATTACCAATTCAAATTAAAGTTTTATTCCAAAAATATGAAAATACAAAATCAACTTTTTTTGAAACTTGTTCAAAAATTATGTCGCACCTTTAATTTCAACCAAGTAATTTTTTTATAAAATTAAGATGACAAATATTCTACTTTTCATGAGTTACAAAAAAGATTTTATACATACGTACCTAAATTTTGGCACATCCTGTATATTGATATAATTTTTGTTGAATTTAACAAACCTAGTTTGTAGGAACATTCGTCTTTTACTATTTTAATATATTTTTACCACTCAATAATTAAATAATTTTGAATTCAAATTTAAAATGTTTGGTATTGAAGTATTCAAATTTGTTGATTAACTATCTAAATTCTCGAGGGATGTATCTCAAAAGGTAAAAGAAGGTATGTACGTAGTAAAGTGATAAACTAGATGATCGACAAGTCAGTAGCATGTTTATATATAGCAATAAAAATGATTATGGAATGACAGTAGAATGGTAGATCAAAAAAAGCATGAAAATATTTTTATACTGAAATTTTCTATATATTTCAAAACATTATTTTTACCTATTTACAATTTAATATGTAGAATAGAATAAATAATTACAAAACTTCGATAAACACTATATTTAATATTATTTACTTTTTTATTCTTTTTATTATTGTATATTTTTAGAGCTAAAAATAAGCTTAAACATTTAAAATTTGATTTACTTAATACTATCAGATGGGCTGAAAAGTTTGTAAGGATTTGTTAGTCCGTTGCATTCTGATATTTAATTTATTTCAGAGTATATTTCGTTAAAATGTATCTAATATTATTCATCTCATAAAAGCTATGGTACAAAGAAGTTAAAATGATTATTTTAGAAATTTATTAGATAAAACCAAAATATTTATTAATGTATTAAATTTGAGGTAATGTTAAAAAGATTTTTAATTTTAATAATAAAAAATGTAGCAATAACCTAAGAACTATTTAGCTCATCCCAGATAAATTAATTGATTGCTTTACTTAAGAAATTTTGTACAACACTGAAAGAAAATTATTTGATACAGCAACAAAATTTAATTGCAAAATTATTACTGGTTGAATCATCTTCATCACGTGCATTTACTTCGCACTAATATTGTATATACCATAACAAATACAATGCTAATAGAAATTAATTCTAAATTTAATTTAACTTGAAGTTAGTTAATTAAATTTTATAGGGAGCGGTTCAAAAATTTTCCAACCTTACTTAGATTTATGAATGAAAACTCGATAAAGCGAAATAATATATATCTCTATCTACATACAGGTATATATTTGAACTTTCTTGTTTTAAGTCAGTCCATTTTGAAAACATAATTGATATTACTTCATTGCTTGAGGTTCCCCTATGGATTACAAGATAAACATTTTTAGCTAAGCTACAATTGCGCAGAGTCTTGCGAACAAACTTGCACAAATAGTTGTTTTCACTCACAGTCAGAATATTTATAAGTTTTCTGTTAGCATTATTCTTATATTGTTGCTTTTGAATATAAATTCTGTTCTGTAATCAAATATCGATAATAATGTCCCAATTCTTGCCTTTTAACAATTTTTGTAAAAATTGAAGATATATTAACTGTAGGCAAAGTTATATCTTTCAGATTCCATTTGATTCAAGTTGATAGTGCCGGAAATTTTTGAACAGTATCCCATTATATTTAAATAAATAATCTAATAAAAAAACTAAAAATATTAAGTTAAAATAGTTATAATAGAAATAAAGTCTGAATAATGTTGAAAAAATTTTTTTAACGAAATATATTTTTCAGGTACATGAAGCAGACGCCTGTCTAGTTCTTGCCAATAAGTATTGCCAGGATCCAGATGCAGAGGACGCTGCTAACATTATGAGAGTAATTTCAATAAAAAATTATAGTGACGATATTAGGGTGATTATTCAATTAATGCAATATCATAATAAGGTAATTGCTTATTTTTTTTTATTATACCTTATATTACAAAAAGAGAACGAATATCGCTTGACCGATTTTAATGATTTTTTTGTACCTATGAGGTTAACTGGATGATTCTTAGCTATATTTGGACCCGGTAGGTGGCGCTGTTATCGATATCCAATTTTTTTTAATTTTTCCACCAATTTATTTTTATATTTTTTTTTGATATTTCACATAAAAAATACATAATCCCAAATTTTCAGCTTCCTACCACCTCTCAATATTTTTTAATTCAATATTTCGTTTTATATTCATGATTTATTAAATAATATATCTCTTTATATGTATATAAGATTTCCAAGCTTATATCTCCGTTATTATTAATCCGAATCGAATGGGACAAACGGCATTTCAAGTGTCAACTGTCATTTAAAATGAAAAAAACATATGGTTACCAAAAGGCCCATCCGTGCGATTCAAACGGGGCAAACGATATTCTACGTGAACTGTAATTTACAATGAAAAAATATGCAGTATTAAAGCTAAAAAATAAATGGGCGAATCCAAATGATTCGTTTCTTTTTGTAATCAATTTTTATATATTGATGAAGAAATAAGCAATTTTTTTTAAACTTTTTTCAGGCTTATTTACTCAACATTCCTTCGTGGGACTGGAAGCAAGGCGATGACGTCATCTGTTTAGCAGAACTTAAGTTAGGTTTTATTGCTCAATCCTGTTTGGCGCCAGGTTTTTCAACCATGATGGCAAATCTTTTCGCTATGCGTTCCTTTAAAACGGTAATTTTTTGAATTAAAACGAGAAATTGCTTTTTTTTTATTTGTATGTTTCTTAATCTTATTTTTTCAGTCACCGGATACTCAAGTTTGGCAAAACGACTATCTTCAAGGTACAGGATGTGAAATGTACACCGAAACATTGTCTACTTCGTTTACAGGAATGTCTTTTACACAAGCTAGCGAGTAAGTTGTTTTGTTTAAATTCCTCTTTCTATCAAAAAGTTTCTAACGTGAATTTTGATTTTAGGTTATGTTTTACTAAACTCAAACTTCTTTTACTTGCGATCGAGGTCAGGGGAATCGAAGGTGCCGATACCAAAATTTCGATAAATCCAAGAGGTGCAAAAATTGTTGCCAATACTCAGGGTTTTTTTATAGCACAGTCTGCAGATGAAGTAAAGAGGTGAGTTTGAATTATTATTTTTATATTATATTATAAGACTAAATGATAATTTTTTTATAATGAATTTAATATCCACGCACATTGTCCTCGTTTACCAAAAAGTCGTAACCATCAATATATATTTTTTAATGCTAACTAGTTTTGGTCAATATGATCATCATCAGGTCTGTAAGACAGTTAAGCGAATGTTATACACAAACGTATTATATTATTATAATGAAATCAAAAACAAAACAAAATGATTGAAACTATAAGAATGAAAATATTAAGTTATAAAATACTAACATAATTCATTCTAAAGTTGACAATTTTTTCAGGGCTTGGTATTATTGTAAAGCTTGCCACGAAGATATCAAGGACGAAACTTTAATAAAGAAATGCAAATGCAAAAACTGTGAGTATGATAAATTTCTATTTATAATCTGAACGTAATGAAATAATAAATAAACATGGTATTTGAAAGAAATATACAACTATTTTTTATTTAGTTATGCAAGGTAATCTTTAAGTAATTGTATAAAGATGTATAATATATTTTTTTACTTCCAAATATTACGATTTGAGCCAATTTGTCTTAAATAATTGATAATTATCAATAATTATCAATAATTATCAATAATTATCAATAATTATCAATAATTATCAATAATTATCAATAATTATCAATAATTATCAATAATTATCAATAATTATCAATAATTATCAATAATTATCAATAATTATCAATAATTATCAATAATTATCAATAATTATCAATAATTATCAATAATTATCAATAATTATCAATAATTATCAATAATTATCAATAATTATCAATAATTATCAATAATTATCAATAATTATCAATAATTATCAATAATTATCAATAATTATCAATAATTATCAATAATTATCAATAATTATCAATAATTATCAATAATTATCAATAATTATCAATAATTATCAATAATTATCAATAATTATCAATAATTATCAATAATTATCAATAATTATCAATAATTATCAATAATTATCAATAATTATCAATAATTATCAATAATTATCAATAATTATCAATAATTATCAATAATTATCAATAGTTATCAATAATTATCAATAATTATCAATAATTATCAATAATTATCAATAATTATCAATAATTATCAATAATTATCAATAATTATCAATAATTATCAATAATTATCAATAATTATCAATAATTATCAATAATTATCAATAATTATCAATAATTATTAATAATTATTAATAATTATCAATAATTATCAATAATTATCAATAATTATCAATAATTATCAATAATTATCAATAATTATCAATAATTATCAATAATTATCAATAATTATCAATAATTATCAATAATTATCAATAATTATCAATAATTATCAATAATTATCAATAATTATCAATAATTATCAATAATTATCAATAATTATCAATAATTATCAATAATTATCAATAATTATCAATAATTATCAATAATTATCAATAATTATCAATAATTATCAATAATTATCCAAGTAAAGGCAAGTTGTCTCAAATTATAATATTTTAAAGTCAAAAATCTACAATACTTGTATGTACAAATACTTAAGGATTACCATGCACAGATAAATCATTTTAAATACTACATTGTCCATAAAATTATCTTTAGGTATTTTTAATTATTATGTTTTTAATTAAATGTTATTTAACAGTCGCGATTTATAGATATGTTTCCAGAAATTTGCCATACGTCTATTACTGAACTAAATAGAATTATTAATGAGGAAAATATGCAGCTTATTTTTTGGCTTATTTTAAAAATTCATAATAAGCTGGATCAACAAAACCATGGAGGCAGATAGCGAGATTATTTTTGATAGTTTGGAGTTCACATGGGCGTATCCAAAGGAAGTTAAATGGTCACCAACGTTTTGTTTTTTATTTAATTATTGTTCTTTTATGAAACATCTCAAAATAGTAGAGTTTGAAGAATAGATTAAATATAATTCGAACATTCTAAAATTTATCGACTGTAGGTATTGCTTGCATATAGTGTGAAAAATTGTACAATATCTGCGACCTTATGGACATCAAAATAAAGGATACAAAATTATAATGGTAGTGATAGACTGTTTTTCCATGTGATTTCGACACCATTAGTGATAATAACAAAAAACATCACAAAATGGTAGCAGCATTAAACTTCATATTTAAAAATTATTTTCGAATATAGGACTTTAGTCTGGAACAAACTTGTTTTTTAAATGGATTACCCTATATTTTATTTTACACGATATAATCAGTTTTATATGTAAAATCGTATTAATTTCAATGACCGGTATACAGCAAAAGGAACAATTGAAAACCATTTTTTTGCGGTAGAAGTTTTTAGATGATAGCAAAAAATCTGCATAGGATGAGTCAAACTCAAATTCATCATTTTCAAGAAAACTTATTTTAACTCCCGTTAAAATTCAAAGATTTAAAATTTTTAGTTTATTTTTAAAATGGTATATAATTTTTAATTGACTTTTATATTGTAGGGTAAATTTATTGAAAAAGTAAAAATTATTATATCAACTTTATTTTTTCTATGCGTCTTTTAATTTATTTTTAATTTTATTTTTTATTCCCCTACTTATATAAAAATTGGATAGAATTATTCCTTAAAATTAAAAATTCGGTGCCAAACATAAGTATTTTTCTATAAAGAATAAGATGATCAAATAATAATAGTAATTATTATTATATACACTAATGTAATTTCTGATCACTTTTAGTGGCTGTACAACATCGTAACTGGGGTCATGATATAGGTAACTGATCAAATTTAAACTCCAGGGCCGCATTTCAATACCACAACTTTTTTGTTTTAATAATATTGGTTTAAAAAAATTCAGTGTTCTTTTTTGTTTCTAAATCCTTTCAATATAAAAGGATTTATTGATCTAAAAAAAATATATACATCCATGAAGTTGGGACATATCTTAACTATAAACTCCTTTTTAAGGGGTCCATTAATTACGTGAACTGTTTTTTTTTTTATTTGGTGACTTTTACTTTATTATATTTTAAATAATTAAATGTATTTGATGCATTCATGTCTTTTGTTCAATACGATACATTTTTCCGGAATAAAAAAGGTGTATTGAGACTTTAACAAAAAATTACTTGATATTAATAAAATTTTATTTATATTTAATAAATTTTACTTCTATTTAAAATCACCGCAAAAGACGCTTTACTTTCAGTCATATTTAATTTATTTCTAAGTTTAAAAAGTGACACCTACTTACAAATAAAGTTTATTCTTGTTTTAATTAATTTAAATAATTAGAATTGTTATGGAAAAGTTATTAAAAGACTGAAATATAACATCACTTCAAATAATAGACTATAAAAAATTCAGTTTTATTTAATTAATTAATTTTTATTACTTGTCGATCCATTCATATTCAATATTATAACCTCTAAAAACTTAAGTTTTATTTAAATTTTTATTAAACGTAATAATAAAAATTATTACAGTTTATTACTTTGAATGAGATTTTCCAGACCCCTTCTCCACATTTTGCTCACCTAATTAATGGACAATAAACGGGAAAATAAAATAAAAAAAATCAAATTTAAAAATCTTTTATTATTCTTCATAAATTACTATAAATATTTTCAAACATTGTAAATTGATTTAAAATGTATTTCTCTCGACGACTGAAACAGAAAACCCCAGTATATGTATCAATCGGTACTGGCACTCTGAGGCAGCACGTTTGATCTTTAAAAGTAGAAATTTAGTTGACACTTGACGTTTTCAGGATATGAAAAGTTTTCTTTATACGGACTTGGTTATACCTGGTTAGTTCAATTTTTGTTCTGCTGTTTTTCAAATTCGTGTGTATGAGCGAGATATGAGATACCTTTATAGAGACAACGGTTGAACAACTTCGCAAATGTAAAAAGGACAGAATAGTTTTAAAATTTTTTATGAATGTGATTGAGTGTCAAAAATGTTTGAATTTCGAAACTGAAATATTACTTTTTAGTGAAAGGTTTAATTACGTTCAGTTCAAAATATAACGTTATTTTGTCAAGGAAATATATAACACACAAGGTTAGAGTAACAAAATAGAGGATTTGCTTTATTTCTTAATAATTACTCTAATCTAAAACTTTTCTAGTATATTTTCTATACGTTATTTAGGTACTGCAAAATCTATAGAAAGGTATGTAGTTTTAAATATAAAAATTTATAACGGAGACATATTTAGTGTAGTTTTTTTTTACAAATGTAAACTCAGTGACTTGTAAATGAGTTCAAATATGGCAGACGAAAATCGTTACTTTTTATTATGAATTAATTTGAATTTATTTAAAAATGGGAACTATAAGTATATGGTTTTCGTAGTTTTTACACTTGTAATAAAAATATCAAAGTTATGTATATTGGCCATTTACTACACAGAGCAAATTCATAGATACAATACATATCACTATTTGACATTCTTATTAAACTCACTAATTTAAAATTGACTTTAAACTAAGTGACTACACACAGAATTGTTTGAAAGCAGCCAGAAGGTATAATTTATTTATTGAATACTATAAAAAAATTAATAGTAGTTACATGTAGAGTTAAGTAACAAGAAATTTAAAAACAAAAACAAAACAAACCTTTATATCTAGTGAACTTAATTTAGTACAGTCCTCAACTTTCTTAGGCTAACATTAAAGATATATATTTGGACCTCGCTAAGAAACTCATCGGTAACAGCCATCATCTTGTTGAAAAGAGATATACTACTTGGATCTAAACTAAATAATTTTTTGTTACTTGGGATTCTTAGATTAATCTTTGCCACATTAAAATTTATCACAATATTTGTACTTAACATTATTTAAAATAGAGTACAAAATATATCACAGCCTGTTGCTTTCTTCTTTGTAAAACAGATTTAATCTTAAAGGTACCGAGCATAGTTTTATATGAGATCTTATAAGGGTACGAGATTTTTTATGGCAAAGATACCGTAAAAATATATTTTTTTGTTCTTTTTCAATATGATCATTATGTGTGGCTTCCAAGGGCATAAATATTTGTGAAACATACTCAAGATGGGGTCTTACTAAGGCATATAAATCATGCACATGTAAATGGGTAAATTTAGACAATGTTATTGTTTTTGCTACTACTGATGGCTGGAAATGCTGGGGGCTGGGATATCAATAAAAAAAAACAAGGAAGCACAAAGCAGATCAGTTTTTATCACTTATACTCTTACAATTTACAATCATTCAAGTAACTAGCATGTTGGAAATACTTCACGAAAACATATTAAACATAAATCAGTCGAATACAATGTATTTTCTTTTTATAACACAGCTTTTTAGCTTGATTACTTCTAGTACTATATT